ATTTAACGTTCAAGACTGTGTTTCCGTTCGAATGTTCATGACTTGGAGGAGAAAGTTACCTAAGCTTTTTATAATTTGTTCGTTTTCAGCTGACATAAGTCTTATAAAATTCTCAATAGAGGGAGGGGTAACGAGACGCTTGGGAAAAGAGTTTCTTCTTGCTCTAGAATACTGGTCACAAATAATAAGAACATGGAATTCATCTTCAACATGGTTATGTCCCTTCGAAAAACAGAAAGTGCAGACACGTTCATTATGTGGGATGTTGTTGTGACGCCCCAGTTCAACAGCAAGTCTGAAATTATTACACCGGAACATGGCTATAAGTCTACGTTGGTAGGAAGACATATCACAAGTAATATATGATTCCACATTTAGCGATGACTTGAGTTACCAGTTGCGACACATGTAATTACTATTTGGTTTGCGAAAACAGACAAAAGATTAAAGGGTACTACACAGTGTGATTTAATTTGGAGATCCGACAGTATATATTAATGAAATGTACACTGAGATGACCAAGAGGGTTTTAAATGTGCTTAGAGAAGCAACAGCCAACAGCGAGAAAACCAAATACTGCCTGCTATTATGGCATACAGTGATCAATTGACCAAACAGTGCAGTGCTAACAGACACCTCCCAAGTCTAACTGGATTTTTGTCATCGCATTCACGTAGTACTTTTGTTGACTTTCAGTAAATGACATTCATTTATTAACTATCCATCACTAAGGTTTTGTTTTGATTATCGGTTCTTGGTATTGTTGCATCAAAACTTCTTGTTGTCATATGTAGAATGTAGTAGGGTGATTAATGTCACAGGTTTCGGTTATGTGTTAAGAAGCAGTTTCGTCATGACCAGTTATCGATGCCCTTGTTTAAACACGCTTTATAACAGCAATTACTCGAGCAAATCAACATCATTTGGGAGGTATGAGCCCTGATCTGGAGAGTAAAATCATCTGTGTAATTCATCATGATGATTAACATTTATTATCATTCATAGTGGAATCATGGACGGCCGTGTTATCTTTCTTTTGAAATGTCATATGAATATTGGAAAAGATGTAAAAATTCAGTACATTTTAATTTTTTTCAAACATGTTAGAATCACAAAGGCCTGTTGAATTAAGTGAGCGAGTTGGTTGGGATTAACGCCACTTAGAACACTATTCAATTATATTCTGGCGTCTGAGACCACGTGCATGGCTACGGTGCACGACAATAGAAACCAATGATCATTATCAATACGAATCCCATGGCCAGAGGACCCTAGGCCTGCTTCGAAAAAGCAACACATCTCTGCATATTGAATTCACGTAGTAGCCAATCGTGTCATCTGTTATAGAACAGTTTAAAAGAAACATCATATCCGTTTTGAAAGAACACTGCAAACTTGCTTGAATATGTCAGCCCATGGGAAACAATTTTGAATTCTAAACATTATTATAAATGTTAAAAGCATTGTGTTTAAAGTGTTCATTTGTCATATTGAAAACCAGGTTTCCGAAATTGCGACAATGTGTGCAGTCCATGAGTAACCCATGGTATGGCCGGAATATTGCTAACAATGTGCTATAATCACTTACTCACTAAATGTTTATTAGGTTCATGTCGTGGCTACAGCAAAGGCATGTAACCTTCTTGTCGGGTCTTACTGCACCTTTCGTCATCTCACAGTTCAGAAAACTAGGCACATATGGTCTATGACATATTTTTCAGTGCGGTTGCCATGGAGACAACATTTCATTTGAGATGGAGATGATTTAAAAAACCTGAAATAGACCATGAGAGATATAAGCAGTTCGGTATGACTGCTCTTGGGGCCTTGGTCGAACATGCAATACGTTTACTGTGGGGACAGCACAACTTGTAAACGTACACACGCGGACCTGGCCTTAGGGCAACCCATGAACACACACACACACACACACACACACACACACACACACACACACACACACACACACACACACACACACACACACGTGAATGCACGTCGCTATATAAGCGCGACGTTAAACCCAATATCACCTCACCTCACCTATGGTGGGCATATGCATGATTTCTACACATAACGGTAACGGTTCCATAGAACTGTATGTATTTGATAATGTTTTTTTCCTCATCGGCTTGTCTAACGCCGCAGTCAGCAATGCTTACACAACGGCCTGTAAATAATCGAATTTGGACTGGACCAACCAGTGATTGATATAGCTTACTTGGCACGCAGTCATCCTCGTCACCGAGCCTGACCACCCGAACCACACACACACACACACACACACGCACACACGCACACGCACACACACACACACACACACACACACACACGCAAAGCCTTGTCCTTATGGCAACTCGTTACATACACAGCGCCACCCAGGCAGCCTGAGCTGAAGGTAAAATGAGTTAAACAATACATTCACAAGTGTTGTGAGAAGTTCCATCAACCCAAAGAAGAATATATGATTATTGATAGTTTCCAACGACAGCTCAGAAAACCTCTTTATCAATTTGCATTGTGTCAATTGTTACCATAAGGCCTGACAACCCACAGAGGGAATCACATAGAAGCTTAAACTTACTTAAAATCTAAATCTAAAATATATTCAACATTTCATATGTAAAAACAGGTTAGCTTTATCCATTAAAGACTGATAGGTGTGAGTCGATGCTTTATTAGCAAGTAAAGTTCATACAAATTCGTCTGGAGAGATCTGAACGTAGCAAACTGTGGCAAAGGCTCCAATTATCACCACAATGGATCTGTCGCTGAAGTCCTCATTGGCCCTCATCCGACGTAAAGTTATTGGCGGATTCCGTGCAAGATGGCTTCCAACCAGAACATCCTTTATCCCACGACATTTATACATCGACGGCCGAGTGATTTACTCGCCAGGCGGAGAAAGGCAGGAGAAATTTCCTTTGAAATGAGTAGGTTATGGATATTCGAGTCATTTCATCGGCGAAATTTCGCACCAGGAAAATGAGGATAAGCACGACACAAACCTTGGATGTGCTTACTGTATAGGCACAGGCAAAGCAAATAACCATTCGGCTCCAATTGAGTTTTGTAGGATGATAAGATAGATTGTTTATAAGTCTTGTACATGTTAACTCATGTCAAATATCATCAAATTGATTGGGTTAGTATAACAAATTTTAAAAAGATAATTTATTTTAATATTGCTTGACATGGACAATTTCTTATCATTCCGGTGGAGGCAATTGAAAGACCTGAATGAGATCATTTGTACATCATACTTATCATAATTCCATTACCAAGATAGTAATGGTTGGCATGATGTCAAACACATTTGCAGGACTGACCAAGTTCACATGGCTAAATTTGTTATTTGGTAAACGACCAGAGAACAGAAATGAGTGAGTGAAGATTTAACGTCACATCGGCAATATTTCAGCCATGTCGTGCCACAGTACAGAAAGCTTCACAACCTACTCTGCACAACCAATGCCATCTAAAACATTAAACACGTGTAATGGTTGAATAATGTTCAGAAACAAAGAAAACATAGACAGTTATGCTTTGAACAATTGCTGGAACCCAAGATGTGTTGGAGAGCAGAAGCCATCGAAACGTTTACAACACCACACGACCACTCGGACAGCGAGTCCAAATACAGAAGTCTAAATACACATTACATCCATCTACACACAACTTAATGCAGTGTAATGGTCTTAATTCAGAACGAACAACAGTGAGGCGTTCAACAAAATAGAGATGTTCTTTACAGAAGCTTTTTGTACCGCAACAACATGTAACATCCTTGCGTAAAGCTTCTATCAAAATACACAAACACGTAAGTGGTACTTATAAATGGCTATTACAATGAATCGATCGCTCACAATACTGCACATTAATATACATTCAATGTTTGTACAATACTTCAATCGCCTTATATGAGATCATTGATGGTTATTTAGTTCCCGCATCAATACTACAAAGGCCATATTTGAGATTGATTCGAGTAACGATGTTGACACAAAGACATTACCTTCATAAAAAAGTACCTTTCAGTGGTTTATTGATACACCTATTGTGGCAACAGGATACTGATAACAAAGGTTAAACCCAAACCACAACCACAACCTATAACAACACACATTTGCTATACATGTCATAAGTGCACATATGTTAACTGTTTCCTATTTAACGTTTCCACGTACTGCAATATATGGAAAAGGCTATATGTTTATTTCGCAGTGTAAATATAGAACTAAAATATGTTTGTTTCACCCTGCGAGGCATTCACGAATTAGAACTATCACCATCAACGGGTGTTATGCAGGAACGGTTTTTGTTCCTGAGTTTTACATTCGTTCTTAATACCTTGCAGTTGATTAATGACATAACTGACAATGATCAATACATTTTTCTTTGAACGGTAAGATTAGTGAGACATCCAATAAGTATGTAAGAACATCATAAAGACAGGATTCTCCTAAATGTGCTGCCCTCAGATGCCCCGATGCATCACGGCATGCAGCACAGACGCAAGATGCAGCCAATCAATCTTCGTCAGTGCATTATTGATGCACTCACCGAGGCGAAAACGTTATCTTTCCCCCTGAAGCACTACAAGTACCACAAACAACCAAAGCAAATCTTACATCAACAAGTTTAAAGATTAAATTGTGACACCTCGTAGTTTACTGCATGTGACAATTTTATCAATCTTAATTAATTACCGAGGGCATAATTATGAAAACTTGTCAACAAAAGGTTTCATTTCATGTAAATGCATCGTCAATCGCTAAATTAGTATAGCTCACTGTTTATGTAGTGCGTCCTATTTTACCTGTACTGTTACAATATGCTATACGTATCACAGTCAGTGTATAAATCCCCAGTTTACGAAGATCGTTGCAAGTCGACAGGTCATTTGCCAGCTGGATATACAACTCCTAATACCCTCACGCATCATCAACATCAAGCTTTTGAATAATACACCGGGGTTAGCGGAGAACACAGGTACTTACCCTTAAAAGATTCAATTGAACATGAGCCACCACACGCCCAATCCTAGGCACATGAGCTATCCGCTGCTATCCCTACTGTAGACTGTGTTATCTAGATATCCATAAGACCAACTATGAGTGAGCTATGCTAGTGACTGACACACTGGGAATGGCTTCTGTTCCATCGTTCTCCCCACCAGCGCTGTGGTCATCAAGGAATACGAAACACAAAAATCAATGAGATTAGAACAACACAGAGCTTGCTATGCTCGTGCAGGGGCGGGGTGATTTATTCATGGGAATATTGGGCACCGTTCAACATCTTTTAATTTCCTATGAAGTGTGTATTGAAATTTTGCAGCGTTCAAACATACAGAGGAATCCTCAGTGTGGGGCCTAAAGGCGTTTTTTGGAAGGTCATCCACGTGTTTGAGGAGTCCGTGTTGGAAAAATGCCCAGATGCGTTTGGTCGATGTGTTCTTTTTATATAGCTGGCGTTCTTCAGTGACTGTCGTGACTCATGAAGGAGTGTTCTATTGTTTGTTTGTTTGTTTGTTTGTTGTGTAACCCCGCACTGATCAATAATCCAGCATTCGACAGCGATCTGTACATTATCTGGTGTGAACCAGACAATCCAGTAATTGACATCAGAGCATCGCAATTGAGACACGACGACGTACATAACTGTCAGCGAGCCTTACCAGTCGGGCTTACAATATAAAGGGATGAGAAGACAACTAGTCACTGCCTTCATCTTCTGTTAATGACAGACATAAGGGCACATTAAGTGACAGTGTAACGTCAGGAACATGCCAATCACTACGTATATATCGTAATTGTAATTAATAAGTCTTGACCAATCAATCAGTGCCGGAAAGCGTGAGCTTCGACCCACGCTTTCAGGGTTCATGCAATCAGTCAACTGACCACCCGACCTCTATAGTCAGTTGTCACGACAAGCGTGGGACACTGAGGACATGTTTATCCCCTGCGACGCTTACATGTACTACTTGTACACGGTATGGAGGTTGAAGAAAATATACTGTGCAGCAAAAGGACACGCAATTGCAAGAGAAGTAAGATCTTTATAATAACGCCATAGTTAGCATTATCTCAGCTGTATGGCGACGGCCTGTAATCAGGCAAGGCTGGATAAATCAAACAAGAGATTGATATTACGAGCATCGTCCCACGGGGTCCGGGTACGATGACACGTTATCAACTTAATCACCGAGCCTGACCACTCGGTCCATTAAGTCAACTCTTACGACAGGCATACTTTGCGGGGAGCCAAATCTAACCCAGAATTCCCACGGAGATGAGGGTGGTAACAAAATAGAAATGTAATTATCAACACAATCAAATCCAAAGACTTCATATAAAGACAATGTAGACGTTAAAATTCAACCTGGTCGACGTGTGTCAAAGAGATTAATAGAACCATCTTCCAACAAACTACGTGAAAACTTAGCTGATGAAACAAAAGACTCGCATCCATGTTTGTCATGTTCTGAATTTCTACGCACTTTCCGAAACGCAGCACTGAAATATAATCAATACCCATTCAAACATGTTGCTATGGTGATATCAGTTTCACTTAGTGCCACCATGCGGTCATTTTAGAATTACCTCCCCCTGGCGTATCGATCTTCTCAACTGACAGTGTCCTTTGTGTTTGAGATTAAAGAAACGTCTGCCAGCAATATCTCGAACCATATGGGGTCTCCGACTGCCGTTATGTTGTAGGCTACATACATAGTAATAGCAAATGCTCTGTCATTGATTTTGGCAAAGTGGAACTAATTATCAAAAGATTCACTTTAATCATTGTCCTGGTATCGCAGCCACCAGGTGATCAATTCATCTGTAACAGGCAGTTCGGGATCCGGTAGTTCTGAGTTCGAATCCCAGATCTGACCCCGTCTAAGCTGGTCATTCAGTATGTAAAAGTGATCCTGGGTTTCCCAACAGTGACAACACCTGTTTTATTTTGTGCTGTTATATCTCTCCCCCCATTCACCTATACGTCGTGATATTACTGAACAAAAGCGACAAACCCCGTTCCATACTCATAAGAAACCCCTGCTAAACGCAGAGTCGATTGTACAATTCCGATTATATCATGAGCATGTGTTTATGAATCACTATGAAATAATGATGTGGTGCTCGCGAAAAGGTGAGCATATCCCGCCCCATCGTCGGTACTCGTCAGAAACACATGCGAAGGTAAGTAAATTATTAAATAAAAATAACCAAAAAACATGGGAACGCATGTTACCACTGCTATCGCAATTGGTCTCTTTCTGTAATTGTATACCATACAATATTTTTCAAAGGTTGTATCTTTGATCTTCCATATTTCCTGCCGGGAAAAAATGTTTGAAGCAAAAAATGATACACCAGGTTGCGTGCCTCAGTCATACCAGGAACCGCTGATCGTTGATCAACACCATAACATGCTTGTGTCACCAAAGTTGTAAACCTATATTGATGATTTTCCTACTTTTGGTCAGCTAATGACCTGAAATATCCAATCTTGCGTTAAGACCCCACACTCACTCAGACCGCCAAAGTGATCTAGTGGATAGAGCGTCTGCCCGGAGAGCGGAAGGTCGGTGGTTCGAGCCCCGGCGGCATTAAAGCAAAGGACGTTATATTACGTGTTGTTATCCTGCCTGGGTTTCTGTATTTATGTTAGAAAACCTGGACTGATCAACTGGGAGTCAATATACTGTGTCTGAGTAGGGTATACCTGTTACACTCCGGCGTGGTATTTCAGTGGCCTAGGGGCGGTCGGGTAGCCTAGTGGTTAAAGCGTCACTTGCTCGTCACGCCGAGGACCCGGGTTCGATTCCCGACATGGGTACAATGTGTGAAGCCCATTTCTGGTGTCCCCCGCCGTGATATTGCTGGAATATTGCTAAAAGCGGCGTAAAAACATACTCACTCACTCACTCACTCAGTGGCCTAGCACTATAAAACCAGCATGAGTCCAGGATGGCAAAATCAGCCCTCTCTCTCTCTCTCTCTCTCTCTCTCTCTCTCTCTCTCTCTCTCTCTCTCTCTCTCTCTCTCTCTCACACACACACACGCAAACAGCACAAGAAGCAGAACGTTATTGTTATGGACACAGAGGTGAAAGAGTTACTTCCCTTGTTTTATGTGAACAGTTGATATAATAACATACATGACTGTATACTTATATAACAAAAGGGGACCATTATGGGATAGGATCCTTCCCCATTATAGTCATTCATATACAACGTATCACCCACCCAGCAAATAAATATCGAGACGAGAAGTATAATATGCTTCAAACATATACACGTACACAATCAATATATTTCACGTTTGACACAAGAGAACGTTCTTTTTCCACATAAGTATCACACTGTCACATACTACTGTGTTATTCTCATGTGATTCCAATGGCAGGTTTCAGCGAGCTGACTGTGATTGATTGGTGATGACAGCACTGGAAGACAAGAAACAAGTGAAGCTGAGGTAAAATCTCGTTGTCACTGTGTCCAAATGTATCTACGTGAAAGACTGCATTTCCTCAAAGTTGTTGGAAACTCGTGAAGATCTAGGGTAGAACAGGTCTTCGGCAACCCATTCTTGACGTAAAAGCCGACTATGAATTGTCGTTAGAGGCGACTAAAGGGATCGGGCGGTCAGGCTCGCTGACTTGGTTGGCTCGCATGTCATCGCATTCCAATTGCTTGGATATTTGTTCATGATTTCAATCACTGGATTATCTGTTCCATACCCCATTATTTACAGTCCGCCGTCATATAGCTAGAATGTTGCTCAGTGCAGCGTGAAACAAACAAACAAACAAACAAACAAACTTGTCCATCAGGGTTATAGTGTGTGAGTGCGTGAGTTAGGTTTTACGCGGTTTTTATCCCAGCAATATCACGGCGGGGGACACCAGAAATGGGTTTAACACGTTTTCCCAATGTCGGGAATCGAACCCGGGTCTTCGGCTTTAACCTCTAGGCTACCCGAGCGCCCCTCATCAGGATTATACCAAACAAGACATTAGTACAGTTTTCAAATTGTTTATGGTAGACATTGCCAAATTGGACGCATCAGTGACAAAAATATGTCCAATGCAATTCCCTATTTTGATTTGTATCATATGTTCCCGTGTCTTTTCAGGTGAATAGTTGACTTGCCTTTGCATGTGTTTGTGACGGGTGCCACCGGTGGGGCAGTATACGCTCACCTTTTCGCGAACACCTGGTATCATCACCTTTTGATAGTGATTCATAACCATATGATTTTGGTTTAGACAGAATCGAACAATAGACTCTCCCTTCAGCAGATATTTCTTAGGATTATGGAAAGGATTTTGCAGCTTTTATTTACAACAGAAACTAGTAATTTCCCAAATAAGACAGGATTCGGTCATATGTTTGTACTGCTGTTATATATTTTACCAAATGCAACCACTCCGACCTACATGTCGCCGAAAACATCACCATGTCCACGGCGTGTGTTTAAGTTTATAAACCGTTTGTCTCTAACCTGACGTACAGGGTTAGTTCTTGTCTTATTGCTAGCTTATAGATAACCGGCTTACCGCAAGGCTATAACTCTGCCTCTAATTTGTTCGGTACGAGTAGATCCACATTAGCGGGGGGACCTTTCTCAACCATCTCGGGCCTGTGTGTTGTAATTAACGCTGTATGTAAAACTGACGTGTTGTATACATGTATTTTGGGTAATTCTAAATCGTTGATTCATATACATCATAGAATTTGACACAGCAGACAAAGCAGACAGACAACTGGAATCAAAGAGTAGTTCCCCTCGGAGAAGTGCCCCTTTAACGTTAAGCCTACCGGCTAAACATTTCAGCTCAGGCATTGTAGAACTGTCCGGTAACTCTTTGACAATATTCATCCTCGGAACAGTATTCAATCACAGGTAGAAACCTGGATAGTACAACGTCCGTGAAAATATTCATACAATGAGGAATTAATTTTAGCTTAGAAGCTGGTAATTTAGACGTTGTTTGAAAAGGAAGGAAAATAGTTCGTTTCCGTGTATACATGCCCCAATAACGTATACTGTAATTATATATAATTACTAAACATGATGGAAATGATAAGAACAAGTCTAGGGTAGACTATTCCTGGTTTTACCTTTGTGTATTCAATTTGGTGTTTTTCAACCTAGGGACTTGTTTGCCATTTCAAATCATGCACCTGTT